TATTTCAACAAAATGTGCCAAAAGACACAAGATTTGACACCGATGTCATTGGAAATTCATTTGACAAAAGCTAAAGTGCATCGTCAAAATGATAGTGTCAGTTGCGGTATGTTCACTATTGGGTACATTGATGACATTTTGCAATCGAAACCGACCAGAGTTAAGCAGAATATGATTGCAAATATGCATCGTCAATATGGTGTGGAAATTTTTGCCAACAGTTTAGACAGCAAACCCTAAACCCCTCCACCATTAACATATCCCAAGTTGTATTTAGTTTTTTTTTTGTGGATACAATTAATTTTTTAATTTTAATAGTATTCATACATTTTAGACATGGTTTTTTCTCTATTCAGGTATAGTAAGTTGAATGATCATTAGCTAATGTAAATTAAATCAAGAGGAAATTATGACAAATAACCCTTCTCATAAGGATATTTCACAAATAATACAGCAACCACATGACGTGTCACCCCATTGGGGCATGGCGTGTCACCCTTGAATAACATAACAACTCATCGTGTGACTCGATAACTCTCTTTTCAGTCAATGTGGGATGGCCTAAATTTGGTACCATTCAGCTTGTCATGCCCTAAATCTAGCAGCACTCAACATGTTATGGCATAAATCTGCCACCACCCAACGTGTAACCCCATAAATCTGCTAGCACTCAATGTGTCACTCCATATATCTGGTAGCACTCAGCCTGTCACATCATATCTGCCACCACTCATCATGTCATGGCACAAATCTACCACCACTCAGCGTGTGACCCATAAATTTGCTAGCACTCAGCATGTCACGCCCTAAATCTGGTAACACTCAGCATGTCATGCCATATCTACCACCACTCAGTGTGTCACGGCACAAATCTGCCACCACTCAGCGTGTCACAGCACAAATCTGCCACCACTCAGTGTGTCACACCATATATCTACTAGCACTTAACATGTCACAGCACAAATCTGCCACCACTCAATGTGTGACCCCATAAATCTGTTAACACTTAACATGTCACTCCATATATCTAGTAGCACTCAGCATGTCACGCCATATCTACTAGCACTCAACGTGTCACAGCACAAATCTGCCATAACTCAGTGTGTCTCGCCATATATTTGCT